AACATAAAATTTACCATTTAACCATTTTTGAGTGCATTAAGTACGTTCTCATTGTCATGCAGCCATCGCCACTATCCATCTCCAGAACTCTCCAGAACTTTTCCATCTTCCCAAACGGAAACTCCACACCCATTAAACAACAACTGCCCCCTTCCCCAGGACAACCAGCACTACTCTCTGCCTTTATGAATGTGATCACTCTAGGTACCTCCTATACAGTATGTGTGATCGTGACCGGCTTATTTCACTTAGCAAATGTCTTCAAGTTCATCCATGTTGGATAGCGTGTGTTGGAACTTCCTTCCTTTTTTTTCTATTGTTTTTTTTTTTTAATTTATTTCTGAGAGAGAAAGAGAGAGACAGCGTGAGCAGGGGAGGGTCCGAGAGAGAGGGAGATACAGAATCTAAAACAGGCTCCAAGCTCCAAGCTGGCTGTCAGCACAGAGCCCAACACGGGGCTCGAACCCACAAACCATGAGATCATGACCTGAGCCGAAGTCAGACGCTCAACTGACTGAGCCACCCAGGCACCCTGGAACTTCCTTCCTTTTGAAGGCTGAGTAACATTGCACTGTCTGTGCACACCGCATTTTATATTTCCATCCACCCGGTGATGAATCCGTTACTCCCCCCTTTTGGCTATTGTGAATAATGCTGCTATGAACACGGGTGTGCAAGTATCTGTTCGAGTTCCCACTTTCAGTTCTTTGGGATGTCTACACCCAGAAGTGGTATTGCTGGGGTGATTCTATCTTTAATTTTCTTCAGGAACCACCATACTGGTTTCCACAGCAGCTGCACCATTTTGTATTCCCACCAAAGGCGCACAGGCTTCCAATTTCTCTGCATCCTCACCATCATTTGTGATTTTCTTGGGGGGGGGGGTTGATAATGGTCATCCTAATGGGTGTGAGGGGACATCTCATTTGATTTGCATTTCTCTAACGCTGTTGAGCATCTTTTCATGTGTTTATTGACGTTTTGGATATCTTCTTTAGAGACACATCTGTTCAAGTCTTTCACCCATTTAAAAAAAAATTAATATTTATTTATTCTTGAAAGAGAGAGACAAGAGCACAAGTGGGGAGGGGCAGAGAGAGTTAGACTCAGAATCCGAACCAGGCTCCAGGCTCTGAGCCATCAGCACAGAGCCCAGTGCAGGGCTCAAACTCACAAGCCCCTGAGATCATGACCTGATCTGAAGTCAGACGCTCAACCAACTGAGCTACCCAAGCACCCCAAGTCTTTCACCCATTTTTTAATCAGCTTGTTTGATTTTGTGTTGTTGAGTTGTACTGCTTCAGTTTTTTTGACTATGAAACAGACCCAGAGAGGTCAAGTGACTTAGCCAAGGTCACCCCAGGTTCATAGCAGAGCCATGACTACAACCCAACGGTTTCATTTCCAAGGCCAAGGCCCTTTCCTGCTACAGCCATCTGCCTAGCTCAGTATAAGTTTCCAGACTCCATCCCTCACATTTGAGATCCATCCCCGATAGCCCCCAGTTTTTACTCTAGCTTCAGATCTGACTATCCCTGTCTTACCTGGTCTTTTTAGTAGCTCATTAACTTGGAGCCTGGAATTTTAAGCTCCAGTGGGTTTCTGTCCCTGTCCTGAGTCCGTGTTTATGACAGTCCCCTCCTTTGACTCCCCAGGTGACTCTGGCCTCATCCTCTACCCGAAGAGGCAGTCCGCATACCTTTGGAGGAATTTATTAGGCCAGGGTCCAGATGCAGAACTGAGATAAATGTTTTACAGCAGTGCAAGGCCACTCTGCTCTGCTTTGTGGCACATTGGGGCCCACATGATCGCTGATCTGAACTTTCTGTGTTTTTTCCCCTGCAACCAGGGGGCAGGTCAGGGGAGGCCCCAGGACCCCTGGAGAGTTGCAAATTATTAACATTTGCAAGCTGGCTGCAAATGATACTTTGGCAGTCATTCTCTCCCTCTTCCTTCTCGAGGCTGAGCGGGCAGAATTCACAATACATTTTCACAATACAAGGAAGACTTGTGGTGCAGAGCAAGAATGGGGCCCTGGGTTCCTGCCTGGACAAAGTCTGGGCACCCTCAGAGTAGGGACGGGGGCCTTCGCTTGCCTCTTTCTGAGAGACACAGAAACAGAAGACGGGCGGTCCTCGGGAAGTCTGCACCAGCTTCTCAGGTGCTCTGGAGGGGCAAGCTCTGGAACAGAACAGCAAGTGCCAGGCTTCTCAAGGCCACGGCCTCAGCCTGCCCGTACCCCTCACAGAGACACAGGGGGACCAGCCTGTCCAGGGGGAAGGGGCAGTGGGAGAGAATCAAGGCCAGGAGCAGCCTAGAGGTCCCAAGTCTGTGGCACGATTTCAAAGACATTCCTGCCTCCAAGTATTACCTCCTCCGGGTCGGTGCTGGCGTCTCTGGACGTTCCAGTTTGGAAGGCCAGCTCATCTCTGCGCCTCCTGCTTTTTCCCGTCGTTTAGAATTCTAACGCGCCAGGAACAAAAGATAAAAGCAATGAATGCTTGCCCTCACCGTCCGCTGAAGAATGTACATTTTCTTCTCAGCAGCCAAGGCGGGACAAGGGCAAAGACAAGGATCTGCCTCAAGGCGGAGTGCAGCCTCTGTGCCCAGCCGGCCAGACGAGTGCCTGCAAGGTATCCTGGGCCGAATGCTATCTTTTCCTTGCCCCCACCTCAGACTGGAGACAGCCTGCAGGGCCAAATGGCAGTCTCCGATTCAAAGAATTAGGCATCAGGAAGGCCGGGGCTCCCTGGTGGCAGTGGGAAGGCGGAGAACGCGTGATGTCCCCAAGGACGGGAGACTCGTTTCCTCGCCTCCTGTGGCCAAAGACAGAGCTTGGAAGGAGCCTCGGGGAGATCAGCACTGGATTCACAGGGCGGCTCCCAGGAGGCGAGACACAGAGGATGATGGGGGGCCTGCAGCTCCAGGGCCATGTGCTAGGTGACCTTGGGGTCCCGGGGGACAGCGTGGCCCTGAGCTGCAGAGAGGAGCCTTTTTCCTGTTTGTTCACACTGCACAGCGTGGCTTCACAGTGGTGACAGGGCACAGCAGCCCGAAGAAGGGACGAAGCTGTGACTATACCATTCAGGACCCCCTCTCCTTCCCGCCCCCCCCCCCCCCCCCCCCCCCCCCCCCCCCCCCCCCCCCCCCCCCCGCAGATCAGTGGAGGGGAAGGTAAGCCAGCCATCCTGTGGGCCCATCCCCTGTCACCACGAGGCCTGGCTGCAAGGGAGCCTGGTGTCCCTACGACCAGGGACAGACAAGACAGGGTTCCCAGAGCACCACAGTAACCTGAGCAGGTTTTCTCTGCCTTCTATTTAAAAAGAACCATACACCACAGACCGGAAATTAAAACTGAAACTGAGAACGACATTCTTCCCAATTCTTCTGTCGTCTTGACAGCAAACCCCTGAAGCCGCCACCCCGTCTCAGCATTAAACAGCCCCGACACCCTCAGATGTCACCGAGGACTCTGGGCAGGAGGCCAGTGGAGACGGTGGCCGGAGGTGGGGACTGAAATGCTTTGGGGAATGTGGACACAGCTTTGCTTTAGGCGCCCTCCTGCTCTGAGGTTTGGTTTCCTTCCAGAGAACTGTGGCTGAGGGGTCAGCTCACCAGTCCCCAGGGGAGGCGCTGGGTCGCCCACCAAGCCCCTGGAGCCACGAGGGGCCGAGGCCAAGGCAGAGAAGGGCGACAGATCCTTCAGCCTCTGACGTACCTCCTCACAGTCGCCCGGGCTGCTGGCGGTCCCAGCAGTCACAAAACAGGAGTAAGCCCCGAGTCGGACCAAGGATCAGAGGTGCCCTTGCCAACCGTCGTCCCACAAACCTGCCGGAGTAGGATACGATTCGACATCCAACCCGATCTTCTTTTGACATTGAACATTTACTAGTAACACCCGGAAAACCCTGGATCAGCTGCTACATCGTGTAACTGGCCTCAGGAAGCTTAGACATCCGAAGGCTGACAGGCTAAAGGGGGGGCTGTGGGCCAGGGGCTGTCCCCGAAGCCGCCCACAGGAGGCAGCCTCCACTGCAGCCACTTCTGTCCCCGCCTCGGTTTCCACACAAGCCCGCTGTGCCCCTTCACCTTGTATGTTCATACCATTCCTGAATCTAAAACATGCTTCCCCCTGCCTTTCGGGATCCTACCTTCTTTAAAGGTTCCATTCAAATGTCACTTTGTCCCCGAAAGCGCCTAACAGTATCCGGCCCGGGGGACCGTCTCCATCGCCTCTTCTTTCTGGGTTTTCTCCCACTTCCGGGGGGCGCACAGCACCGGGCACATGCGGCCTCGTCCCGCGCCTTGCGGACCCGAGCAAGCGCGCGCTGCTGGAGGCCGGGCCCGCGCTCACACGTGCCCGCCGCACGGAGCCCGGGACGCGAGAGCTTCGTGCGCAGGGAGCCGAAGCCCTTGAAGGAAATCACGGCTGCAAGTGTCTGCACAGACGCTCGCCGACTGTTGAGAAGGAAGTCGCCGCCGCTCAGCTTCAAGCTGAGGTCTTTGCAGGATGTTGAGGGCTTTGCAACAACCGGGGTGAACACACGCGCGTGTGCCGGTGCTCGCGGCGCCCCAGCCTCGCACAGGCCCGGCTCTGCCACACCTCCAGCTCCTTCTCACGGTCACCGTCCGCCCCGCTGTGGCACAGTCCCCGGCTGCTGAGACAGGCGGAGGGCTGTCATGGCCAACCTTCTGAGGAGCCCCGGAGCCCCGCGTGGACAAAGTTCCATTGCAAGGGACGGAGAAGCCATACAGGGGACCGCTCTTGTAGGGACTGGCTTAGCAGACACCCGGACCCATTCAGCGGTTCGTGTCCGTGGAGCCAGGCATCCTGTGGGCCGTGGTGGCCCGGCCTGTGCCCAGGATGGCGGTGGCGACTGTAGGTGGGGAAAGACCAACCCCCCATGACCACCCACTGGAATCAGCACATTCTGTTGCCAACGCGGAGCAGTTTAGCAGAATCGGGAGACGGAGGCGGTGGCTGTCCACCTGACAACACAATGGCTTCGGTGGGGCCTCCCCGAAGCACCCCAGCCTCAGAGCGCTCTACTGGGGCGCGGACCACAGGCCAGGAACCCCCTGTCCACACACGGGTGAGAGCGACTCTAGATCAGTTATGAAAAATGTCCCCAGCCCCACTTCTGATGACACCGCCGGGGCTCCCGGGGAGCCCGCAGTGGTCAGCAAGCAGGCAGGGTGTCTGGGGCAGGGCCACAGGGCTTCCTACTGTGGTGGGTCCCCCACCCCCACCCCAGCACGGGGCCTGGCCCAGCCTTGCAGCAGTCAGGACCCAAAGCTTCTTGCTCTCAGGCGGATACACTTCCCACCAAAGCGCACAACGCTAGAATTCGGGAGTAATCCCAGCCATCCGCCCAGAAGGAACAGGACAGAGCAGAATGGAAATGGGTGGAGGGGGTCATAGGTGGGGAAACAAGGTCAGCCCACCAGTGCGTACAGGCCTGTTTGGGCTGCCCCCCTCCCTCTCCCATACCCCCCCCCAGCCTCCCTCCCAGCCCTGCCCTCCTTCTCCCCCTTCAGCCTGGAGCTGCTCTCTGTTCTGTCCTTTTTTTTTTTTTTTTTTTTTTTTTTAGAGAGAGAGAGATTGAGAGAGCGTGTGAGCAGGGGGAGAGGGGCAGAGGCAAAGGGGGGGAGAGAGAGAGACTCCCAACCAGGCTCCACGCTCAGTGCTCGATCCCACAACCCTGGGATCATGACCTGAGCCGAAATCAAGAGTCAGACGCTCAAGGGACTGAGCCAGCCAGGCGCCCCTACTCTGTTCTGTCTTTAAGGCTCTCAGGAGAAGGCTCGCTACTCTTCATCCCTGAGGGCACCCGCTGTCCACACCTCCTAGTCATTCGATTATCAGTCTTGTCTTTACTCTGAATCACCGAGTGAAAACCTTCGTCCCCTCGCGCGAAGACAATTTCAAAGAGCACTTTTTCTCGGCCCTCTCAGCAGATGCTTAGAGTCTGTCTCTGACGCAAACAAGAGCAAAGGGAGAAAGGAGCAGAGGGTGAGGTGGAGAAAAACCATTCACGGTGGGGGTGGAGGAGAGAGAAGCAGGAAGACCCCCGACAGCTACAAAAACCCCCTGCTGTGGTTTTCAAAGCCCCGAGACACCAGTCACCGAGGTGTGAGCAGTGACGGAAGTGGGGGAGACCGAACGGCAAGCCAGTGGCTGAGAGCTCACCGTCACCGGAGCCCCGAGCAAGAGAGAGGAACTTCAGTCCCGAGGTGACAAGGCCCCCTGGGGCCCCGGGGTCCAGGAGCAGGGACAGGACAGTTCACAGAACCGCCCAGGTAAGGACAGGCTTCCAGCGAGGTCCCCGAGACACCCTGAGTTTTGAAATGTCCTTCACCCTCAGGCGCCTGGGAAAAAGTGTGTTCCTCTGTGCCGGCTGGGCCGCCCTGCTCGCCCTTCCCAGCAGGCTTTCAGAGGGACAGGCCCCCCTCTGACACCTCAGACGGGAAAGAGAACTGGCAGGGAGATTCAGGCGACATCCTTGAAGCAACTATACGTGAGGGAGTCCCTTTTGCTGTTCTGAATCCTCTAGGCTACTTCCTTTTGCTCAGGGCTCCTAGGCGATGAATGACCGAGGGTCATTCTTATCAATAAAAGGAGCCGGATACTAGGGGAAGTCACCAAGTTTTGGATCAGGCCCCCTCCCCAATCCCTCAGAGGCTGGCCTAGGACCAGCCCGGGGGCCCCTTGGAGCTTAGAGCTGGTCCTGTAAGGAGCCCCTGAGAGAAATTTACATCCCAGATGTGTGTGTGGGGGGGGAGAGAACACCAAGAAGAGAGGCTTCAGGCCAACTGGCATGTTTCAGCACAGTCAACGTGGGATTTCTGGGGTGAAAATAATGGCTTAGAAATAGTTTTCCTCCGGGGTGCCTGGGGGGGCTCAGTCGGTGAGCATCAAACTCTTGAGTTTGGCTCAGGTCATGATCCCAGGGTCATGGGATTGAGTTGGGTCTGGGTTCTGTGCTGAGCGTGGAGCCTGCTGAAGATTCTCTCTCTCTCTCTCTCTCTCTCTCTCTCTCTCTCAAATTAAACAAATAACTATTCTTCCTCCAACTTCCAGAGCTCCCGTTTCCCTAATTGCAAAACGAGGCACCTCTTCTGCAGAAGTTCTTAGCGGGGGGGTCCATTCGTGGCATTTCTGAATCTGGGGGAAACATGATTTATTTCCACCAGCCCCTGGCTGAGAGCTAGCATCTACTTCGATCACAAACACAGGCCACAAACCTCAGTGGGATTTGCCATCGGCAGAAATCGGAAATATTTTCAGCTCTCCTTCCAACGGTCTCAGATTCCTCAAAGTGTCACATACACTCCTCACTACCACGAAGTGATGACAGCTCCTGATCGTTAGCGGCTCTGGGTGTCCACCGGCTTAAGAGCCACAAGCCCGGGGCCCGGCAAAGAGCCCCAGGATGGGTGCTACCCTCCGTTTACTTACTAATAGGGTTCTACAGTCAGGAAGTTGGGGCTGCTGTGGATGGAATCCCAGCTCTGGGCCCGGGGCAGCTTTTTCAGGCTCGCGGGAGCTCTGGGAACAAGCGTTTGTGAGGCTGACTGCTACCCTTCCGGCTCCTCTGAGAGGAAGGCCTGGGCTTCAGCAGCCCCAAAGCGAAGAGCCTCTTCTTTACAGTCCTGTCCCCACCAGCGACAGCCCACACGCCCCAGAAAACCTCGGGCACAGATTCATGTATCATTTAACTGTCACAACATTCGCCGCAGGGAGTTTTAACCACAAAAGGAACGAGAGGCTGAGCAAGGTTAGTAACGGGCCGGAGACCACGCGAAGCTCGGATTTGAATCTGGCACTCCATGTGCCTCCCACTTTATAAGGTCGGGGGCAAGGAGGGGCGCTTACCTCCGGAGGCGCATCCTCAGAATCCACAGGCCCTGGGCAGCCAGCATAGTTCGGGGGGCCCGGGGGAGGCTGACAGGTGCGGATGCCATCCTAATCTGTACCCACCCTCCTCCTTGCCGATTCCGGGGCTCGCCACGTTTTATGAACAGGATACCTTCCTCTAGTTTGCGGTGGACCCAGGAAGTGCCCGCATTCCCTCTCCACCATCTCTTCCCGCTACGGAGGGCCAGGTGCGGCCCTCGTACAGGCTGCGTCCCCAGGGCCCACCAGAAGCGATCGTGCAGCCCCCTGCACCTCCGCTGGCAGTTCAGGTTTTCGGCTGGGAGCCCGCACCCCCTTCCCCGTCCCGGCTTCAACTGGAAGGCAGCGCCCTCTAGCGGCCAGAGCGCAGAAGCGGCGGGGCCTGCCTCACACCAGGGTGCTCCCCCTCCAGGCACCAAGGTCACTACCCGGAGAGCATCCTTTCCCCCATGGCCCCCACCTGCCCCGGCCCTCTTGGACGGCCCACGACGGACTTACGCGCTCTGCGCCGGCTCGGCCCTAGGCACCGCGAGGCCCAGCCACAGAGAAAGCCCTGGCGCCCGCCTGCCAGCCCGTCTGCAGCTCCCTTCTTGGAGGCAGTCCCTCATCCCCCCCACCCCCCCTGCACCAGTCCCTCAGGAAACACGCCTAGAGAAGGGACATGACCTTCTCGACAGCTCACAGCTAGCTAATGCAGAGCCCTGATTGGAAGCCAAATCTCCCCCGCCGTCACCACCGGCTCCCCAAAGTCGGCAAACATCTGTCCAGGCCCAACTGCACGCTCTTCTTGCAGCCTTTCCAGACCCCGCGTTCAGAATTTCTCCTTTCCTAGGGTCCTTGATGGACTTTATGACCTTATTACTGTTAGCAGAGCCCTCCTTGGGTTGCAGCTGTTCCGGAATGGCTAGATAGCTGCGAGACGAGGGACAAGGACACGAAACTGCAGGAGACTCACACACCTTGGGAATTTAGAATCCTCGCTCCTTTGCTTAGAAACTGTGATTTTAAGCTGCTCACAATGCCTCTCTGAGCTCCCATATGCTTAGTCAGAGTGATAAATGTTTAAAGAACCCTAATAGCGGTGTTTTCTAAGAGCTGAGCACACTTGCGTGTGTGGATGTGCTTGGGACACTGTTAATTGCCCCCAAATATGAGGATGCATAAAAATAATCATGGCTAGCATGTACTGAGCCCTTAGCGTATGCCAGCCATTCTACTGGCGTTGTACTAGGTAAGCAGTTTACATGGGTTGCGTCCTTTAACCCAAACAACCACCCTGGGAAGAGAATATGATCACCATTTACAGCTCAGGAAGCTGTTTTTCAGAGAGGTTAAGAAACTTGCCTAATATCACACAGCTAATAAGTGTCAAAGCCAGATGATAGAGCTGTTTGTTCAGTGTCTGTAAAATATGTCCATTTATTTATTAAGGGCTGAGCACAGTTGTTGTCCCAGGAGCCTAAGAAACTTGCCTGTCACACAACTAGTAAGTTTTGGGACCAGGTCTTAGACACAAGCAGTCAGGCTCCAGAGTCTACGCGTTTGTTTTTTTCCAAAATGTTTATTTATTTATTTATTTTTAAATGTTTTATTTATTTCTAGGAGAGAGAGAGAGCGAGCGAGCGTGAGCTGGGGAGGGTCAGAGAGAGAGGGAGTCACAGACTGAAACAGGCTCCAGGCTCTGAGCTGGCAGTCAGCACAGAGCCCGACGCGGGGCTCGAACCCACGAACCGCGAGATCATGACCCAAGCGAAAGTCGGACGCTTAACCGACTAAGCCACCCAGGCACCCCAAAATGTTTATTTTTGAGAGAGACAGAGCATGAGCGAGGGAGAGCAGAGAGAGAGAAAGAGAGAGAGAGAGAGAGAGAGAGAGAGAGAGAGAGAATCGAAGCAGGCTCCAGGCTCTGAGATGTTAGCACAGAGCCCAACACGCAGCTCGAACCCACAAACTGCAAGATCATGACCTGAGCCCAAGTCAGACACTTAACCGACTGAGCCACCCAGGCGCCCCTCTTGTTAAATTTTAAATTCCTGGGAATTTTATGGGAGATTTTTGTTGTTGCTATGAGTGGCATTTTCTTCTATTTTTCAACTAGCAATTGTATCTAGGGAAAATTAATAATTTTATACGTTTATTTTGTGTCTGATTAAATTTTATTTGTGTTATATGTTTATATTATTATTATTTTATATAAATTGTAAATACATAATATTCTATACTACGGATATGCCATAATTTATTCAACCATTCTCTGACCAATGGGTCTTTACCATTTTCTAGTTTCTCGGTATTGTAAATACTGTTGCAGCAGATATCTTTAAACATACATTCCATCACACTCAGTGTTTTTATTTCTGTAAGACAGAGCCCAAGGTACAGGGTATATTTTCACCCAAGGTGAACCACTGTACCTATTTCTTCAGACCCTCAGTAGAACCAGATTTTTTTAATGGTTATCTATTTTTTTTAAATGTTTATCTATTTTTGAGAGAGAGAGAACGTGAGCGAAGGAGGGGCAGAGTGAGAGGGAGACAGAATTTGAAGCAGCCCAGCACAGAGCCTGATGCGGGGCTCAGACTCACAGACCTGGAGATCATGACCTGAGCGGAAGTCAGACGCTTAACTGACTGAGCCACCCAGGCACCCCAAATGGTTATCTAGTTTAGAGAGAGAAAGAGGGAGGGAGACAAAGGGAGATAGAGGGAGAGAGAGAGAGAGAGAGAGAACATATGAGTCGGGGAGAGGTAGAGAGAGAAGGACAAAGGACCCAGAGCGGGCTCTGTGCTGACAGCAGAAAGCCCAACGCAAGGCTCAAACTCACGAACCACAAGATCATGACCCAAGCCAGAGATGGAGGCTCAATCGACTGAGTCATCCAGGTGCCCTGAATTGGATTTATTGATCATTTTCATTTGTGCTTCTCTATTGGGTGGTAATTCTGAAATTCTGGACTGTGAACTTTTAACAACTTGCACTTCTCTAACTACTAGTAAAACTGAACAACTTTTCATTACATTTCCTATTCTGTGAACTGCCTCTTCAGATATTCCACCTTTGTTTCTAAAACTCTTAATTCTCGTGGGCTTTCCAAATGGAAGTCACATCAAGTGGAAATAATTATTTTGCTTCAAGATTTCCAATATTTATATCCCTTACTTTATTCTCTCATCTAAATGCAATGACTAATGTTCCCAGAAAAATAGAAAATAATAGAGGTAGGGGCACCTGGGTGGCTCAGTTGGTTAAGCTTCCAACTTCGGCTCAGGTCATGATCTCATAGTTCGTGAGTTTGAGCCCCGCGTCAGGCTCTGTGCTGACAGCTCAGAGCCTGGAGTCTGGTTCAGATTCTGTCTCCCTCTCTCTCTGCCCCTTCCCCACTCGTACTCTCTCTCTCTCTCAAAAATAAAAATAAACATTAGAAAAATTTGTTTAAATAAATAAAATAATAGAGGTAATAGGAAGCACCTTTGCCTTTCTCCTAATTTTAATAGAAGTGATCTTATAGTTTACCATGATTTAAATATGACTCTAGAATTTTATTTGAGATACAGATTTCTCCATTATGGTGAATAATATTCAACTATCACCATTTTCCTTAGGGTTGTCAAGGGAATGAATATGAGATTTGATCAGAATATTGATTTTCTTCTTTGATCTATTAACATATTAACTAATATTAATAGACTTCCCAATATTGAATCATCCAATAATTTCTAAAATAAATCCCACTCCGTTTGTTATGATGTATTGTATTTTTAATATCCTGCTTGACTGGCTTCTTAATGTTTTATTTAGGATTTTACATGAATGTTCATAAGTGAGATTGGTCTGCAGTCTTTCAAGGTTTTGGTGTTAGTAATAAGAAATGAGATTTCCCTCTTTTTCTATGCTATCAGTTTGAACAACATCAGAAGACCTCAAAGAATTTATTTATAAACTATCCAAAGTAATGCTTTCTGGAAAGATAGTACCAAATACTTTTCTGTTTCTTCCATGGTCAATGGACCCTTTAGGTTTTCTCTATTTTTTTTTTTTGAGTCAATTTGGCCATTTGTATTTTCACAGAAATTATATTTTTCAACCAGGTTTTCTCTTTAGCTTAAGGTAATACAAAAATATCCCTTATCATTTTTAGTTCCACTTACATTTATGATTTTTTTCTTCTTTCTTATTCCTAATTTTCACTTTCCTCCATCTTCCCTTGATTCCATTAGTTTATTTTCATTTTATTTTATTGTGGTTTCCCCTTATAGGGCTATAGTTGGTATTAAAGGATGATTAAGAGTTTATCAGGCAAAGAGACACCTGGGTGACTCAGTCGGTTGAGCATCTGACTCTGGGTTTTGGCTCAGGTCATGATTTCATGATACACGAGATTCTCACTCTGCCTCTCAAAATAAATAAACATTTTTTTAAATAAAAAATGAGGGGTGCCTGGGTGACTCAGTTGGTTGAGCATCCTACTTCAGCTCAGGTCATGATCTCATGGTTCAGGAGTTTGAGCTGACTGGAGCCTGGAGCCTGCTTCAGATTCTGTGTCTCTGTTACTCCCCTCCCCCACTCGCACTCTGTCTCTCAAAAATGAGTAGACATTTAAAAAAAATTTAAATAATAAAATTAAAAAGTAGAGTTTATCAGGCAGACAGAAAGGAGGGCATCTCTGAAAGAGTAGGCAAAATGGACAGAAATCTGCAGGTTTGAGGGGCATCTGGGTGGCTCAGCCGGTTAAGCATCCGACTTCAGCTCAGGTCATGATCTCATGGTTCGTGAGTTCGAGCCCCGCATCTGGCTCTGTGCTGAGAGCTAGCTCAGAGCCTGCAGCCTGCTTCAGATTCTGTGTCTCCTTCTCTCTCTGACCCTCCCTTGCTCATGCTGCCTCTCTCTCTCTCTCTCTCTCTCAGAAATAAATTAAAAAATTTAAAAAAAAAGACATCTGCAGGTTTGAAATCGCTTGGGATATTCAGTGAATTCTATCTTGGGTTGGCTATGACAGTGACCAGGGGGTGTGAGGAGGAAGCACTAGACCACGCAGGAATCCCACTGGTATCATTCTACCGCCACCTCATCTTTGCAGCATGTCCCCAAATGCCTGATGGGAACACCTCATTAGCCCAACCCCAGCTTTCGGAGGGTAGGAAGAAACTGTATCTGATCCTTTGGGTTCCTGGAGCATCAGAGCTCTACTTTCTATGAGGACTCACAGGGAGGTGGTGCGGGGAGAAAGGAGAGTGACGCTGGGCCCACCAGAAGATACCGGCTAGCCAGAAGAATGAGAAATATCAACTATGTGGAGTCCCTGAAATCTTCTAACTGGGGAGAATGCCAAATTCAGGTCTGTGTTGTTGAAGGCTTATTTTTCAATATTTTGAAGTAGACAGACATTTTACAGATGAGGAAATGGGCCGGGCAAGGACCTGAGTCATGCACAGAATCATCAAGAGGTGGAATCAGAGTTCTACCCAGTTTTCTAGGGTGAGGAAAAGAAATACTCCAAAGGAAAGGAATGCAAAGTATCTTTACCTGAAAAGAGGGGATAGTAATATCTGTAAAGATTAAATGATTCAACGCATAGGGGGTTCCCCGGGTCGCTCTGTCATTTAAGGGTCCAACTTTGGCTCAGGTCATGATCTCAAGGTTCATGGGCTTAAGCCCCACGTCAGGCTCTGTGCTGACATCTCAGAGCTTGGAGCCTACTTCCTATTCTGTGTCTCCCTCTCTCTCTGCCTCTCCCCTGCTTGCACTCTGTCTCTCTCTCTCAAAAATAAACAAATGCTAAAAAGAACTATTCTGACAATAAAGCCTTCAGTGTCTCCTTGTATAGGTCTCTTCCCTCTTCTGTGCTCTCTCCTCCCCAGTATTCCTCACTTGGTAAGCGGTCTCATTTCCCAGCCAGCTGCACTCTTGTGGCCAAGCCTTCCTCCACCTGACTTAAGCCAACTTAAACTAGAGCCTCAAACAGGGAGATGGTCTTGGGGCTCCCAGAAGGCCTTGTCTAGGAATCCCCCTGTGCTTTCAGGAAATCGAGGCCAAGGACATCGCTGAAGCCAACATTTGCTTTGAGTTTCTGCGGCCGCTGGCAACGAGCAGGACACTGATGGCACCTGGCAGAGGCTGCTTGGTCCTGGCCATTCTGCTGCCACTTGTGTGCATCCAACTCGGTGGTGAGGACAGCCCATCCCCGGATCCCCAGAGCAGAGATGGCCATCGGGGAAAATCCTAAACTCGTGAGGAGGGGCGGGGCCCGAGATTTTTTCCTCTGGTGGGGAAGAAAAGAACCCACTGCCTCTTGACACTAATGAAAGGGCGAAAACATAGTCCCGTCCATGTTCTTTTTTGTTAAAACTGATGCTATTGGCCACCCGGTCAGACATGCTGCCCCCATGCGTCTCCGTGTGTGGCCGAGAGCCTGGTGACCTGGCCCTCAATCTAAGATGCTTTTCAGGGTCACACACATTCCTAAATTTGTGAAACTCGGGTTTGAGATTCAGATCCTACAAGACGTGTCAAGTATATAACCCATTTAACCACCGTGTACCTCAGTTTAGAAAATGGGAACACCACGGGTCAAGGGCTATATCGAGGATTTGATGTATCCAAAAGTACTTTTAATCATTAAAGGACCTATGCAAGTTCCATTTGGAGAGTAGAAATAAAATAGAAATCATTTGTGAATTAATGAAGAACTGGGGTTGTGGGTCTCCCCTCAGAAATGGGTAGAGCCTGTAGACTTCTCTTCTAAGGGGCGGTATGTATCGTCTGTTAGCCCCCACCTCTGCTCTTCCTCTGTGAGTGCACTTAGTCGCCCATGTATGGCCATCCTCCGACGCCTAATTCTTCCCTCTTCCCATTCCAGGGTGCATGCAAATCGTCAGTTCCTTCTCCCAGAAAGGGAAGCAATTACAGTTGATCTGCACTTTGCAGCATACGGAAGAGGCTGAGGGTGTGACAGTGTTTTTGTGCAAGAACAGGTCTTTGGACTGCTCCCCTGAGACCAGCCTGATGCAACTGCGACTTCAGCGGGATCCTGGGGGTGACGGTGTCCGCGAAAGACTGTCTCGGCTGGTGTTCACCGTAAACCTCACAACATCGGACAGCGGGACCTATCAGTGCTGTGCCGTAAGCCAGAAGCCAGATATCCGCCTTCAGGGCCACTTTTTCTCTGTTTTAGTCACAGGTAAGCTCTGATCTCCCAAATGCCACCAGATGAGATGGTAAGCAGGTTTGGCAGCTGGAGACAGAAGTAGTTACTTCGGGTCCTGGGTGGGGAGTCTCCTTGGGCCAAGAGTCCTTACATTACTTGGTCATTTCCCACCAGTCCCACCAGCAAATGCCACCTATCCTCAAAGCACGGACACAACGGTAGTCTCATTTTGTCTTGCACTTTAACAATTATACTGAGCTAAGCCATTCCATTTTGACTGACATCAAGACTGAGTCGCAAGAAGGTAAAGCAATTTGTTCAATTTGTCTTCCTAACCAGTGCCAGAAGAAGCAGACAGAGGTCGAATTTAGGCATCCTGGTTCTGATTCAGAGATCTCTCAGAAATGTCATTCTACTTCTAAATATAGGCGCTGAGCCTTCAGGCTGATAGAGATGGATTTTAGATAAAATGGATGGTGGTCTAAAGAGCATGTAGTTGTAAGAAATGGACACCCACTCAAGGTGCCATAGGTTAAAAGGAAAAAATAATAAAACAGCAAGTATAGCTGGCCCTCAGAAGTTTCCGTTTCTGGAATCAAAATCAGAAATCCAACAGAACTTAAAAGAGTTATGATCTTAATCCCTCTGAGGCGGCAAGGCCTCTCATCTCTGCAGATTTCCTGTATTTTGTGTCTATTCGGTTACTACTTTGACAAAATCTAAATATGGTTACTCCAGCCTCAGCTTTATACATGACTTTCTCATATGCCCCGCAGAGAGTGACTCTTTGTGTTTCTATATTCCCAAAGGAGCAAGCCTTTAAATCTGAGAATTATGCTCTTTTTTAAATTATTTGAGAGAGAGAAATGGTGAGCAGGGGAGGGGTAGAAAGGGAAGGAGAGAGAGAATCCCAAGCAGGCTCCATGGTGTCAGCACAGAGCCTGACGCCGGGCTTGAACTCATGAACCATGAGATCGTGATCTGAACCGAAACCAAGAGTCGGACACTTCACTGACTGAGCCACCAAGGCGCCCTGAGAATTATGTTCTAATTGGAATTCTATACCCAACCAAACTACCAACAATCAAATGTGAGGGAAGAATACAGACATGCAATGACTCAAAAAAAAAAAAAAAAAAAAAAAAAAACNAGCCCTCCAAGAAGCCACCAGAGGTGTGCTTCATTAAAAAAAAAATTTTTTTTTTAATGTTTTATTTATTTCTGTGAGAGAGAGAGACAGCATGAGCAGGGGAGGTCAGAGAGGGAGAGACACAGAATCTGAAACAGGCCCCAGGCTCTGAGCTAGCCGTCAACAGAGCCCGACACGGGGCTTGAATCCACGAACTGCGAGATCATGACCTGAGCTGAAGTTGGATGCCCAACCGACTGAGCCACCCAGGCGCCCCCCAGAGGTGTGCTTCAGGAAAACAGGAAAGTAAGTAGGTAGAGTGGATAAAATGGGATCCAGGAAAGTAAGGACTCTCATAGGGAAAGAAGATAAAGGAAACCTAGAACTGAAAAGGGCCAAAACAGGCGATTAGTCCAAAAGGAACAGGAGAAAGAGGGCGCTGGAAGATGAGTAGTGGGTAAAAATGGAATCGATAGGTCATCTTTCTGAAGGCCTGTGACAGATTGGATGAAGGATTAAAGATACAGATAGGAGAACTTTTTCCTGGTTAAAAAAAATTAATCATTATCTCCAGGAAAAACACTGAATTTTACAAAAGGAAACCTAATCATGGGCCACAACTTGGCTCTACAATAGGTAACATTAACAGAAACCAGATTACGTAAAAATCAATTTAACTAAAAGGTGTAATGAAAGATGCAGAATGGAAGCTTCATCATCAGGAAGCGGTAACATAAGCACACTCTTTGGGACTATGGTGAGACATCTCCAAGCTCACAGTGGTTGTCCCCTAGGGAATAAGCATAGGAAAAAGGACACTGCTATTTTGCTCCATGAACTTGCAAATACTATCTTATGTTTTAAGAAAAATGGAAATAAATTACATCCCCTCCCAAATAAATACCCAGCCCAGAGCCTTTTAAGAAATGCTTTAATCATCTCCTATGGTTAGCAGTTAAGTGACTTCAGTCTAGACTGACAGATTTTCTGCCTTGCTTCCTGCTATCTTGCCCTCTGACCCTCTACAGCAGTCAGCCCTTCCATTCTCCCCCTTATCAAACTCCCATCGCTATCAGCTTCTGTGACTGTACTCCTGGGGATTCCTACTTTTCTGGCTGTTCTCTCTTTCTCTGTCACTATTTCTGCCCCCTACCTCTCAAACGTGAGAATTCATTCAGTTAAGACTCACTCTACCTCTTCGGTCTTTGTGCTGTTTTTCCCAAGTTCTCATTTACCCTCCTGATTTTAACCCGCACCACCCTGCAAACTGGCCCACAAGTCAACTTCTCGAGCTCTAACCTCTTTCCTTAAGTTTCAATTAAAAAAAAATTTTTTTTAGGTTTTTATTTTTGAGAGAGACCGAGTGTGAGCAAGTGGTTGGAGCAGAGAGAGAGGGAGACACAGAATCTGATGCAGGTTCTGGGCTCTGTGCTGACAGACGTGGGGCTCAAACTCACGGACTATGAGATCAAGACCTGAGCCGAAGTCAGATGCTTAACGGACTGAGCCACCCTGGTGCCCCCCATACCAAGTTCCAATTTAACGTTTCCACTGACCACTGGCTCCTAGCTTCTGACTGCCATGCTTGCCATCTCAAACTCAAACCTATCCTGAGACCCTAGCTCTGCCCAGGATTTAGAAATCTTGGTGCCTTTTTTCTCTTCCCCATCCAGTCAGTTACTGAATGCTACTAGTTCTTTCCCATTCTCATTCCTTTCTTTCCAAAGGGGTTTTCCAAGTCTTTATCATCTCACACTGAAAATATTCTAGTAGTCTCCTGACAAACCTCTTGAAATCTGTCTTGTTCATATTCATTTCTCCTCCTACATTCTACCTCAGGAGCTATAACACAGCTCTTACCCAATAGTCCATCAACTCTAAATACGATCTGTCTTCAATCCACACTGCCACCTGATCTTTTTCTAAAATGCTAGTTCGTACATGCTACGCCACCATTTACAGAGTTTTACCAGCTTTTTCACGGTCTCTGGGACGATGTCTAGATTACTTTTGCCTGGCACTTTGGAAGCTCTAGAAAATTTCATTCTACAATTTATGTGAATACTGTTCCAGCTGATCACACCAGTGGAAACTCCTCTGTCATTCTTCTCCAATTTGTCCTATTGATTTGGTATCCCACAGGCACAGTGCTAAGTTTGGAGAACAGAATTGGAGCAGCAAAAAAGTCCTTGCTCCTTATAAGCTAATCTATTGGGTCTATAACCTGGTCACATTCTCCTAATAACACCCTAAGCATTTCTACTTGTGACCGCTTTCCATGAAATAAAACGCCTTTCTCATCCTTTCAGTATATTTAAGTATTAGGGTCAGCACATACGGATGCTCACCAAATGCAGAGAGAAGGCTGCTTTTGGAAGGTGAAACTAACAAAGCCGGGCAGGTAACACAGTGTCTGTAAACAATGTCTACCATTTACTGAGTGCTGACTGTGTGCAGGCATTGTGCTGAATGACAGATCAATTCTTTCATTTAAGCTTCATGGCCTTTCTGAGGTTGCACTTATTCTTGTCATGTGACAAGTCAGGCGCAAAGGTAATTTGGGTAAGGTCATTCAGCTAGTAAATGGTAGATAAAAACCCAGATCTATTCCAAAGCTCAAGATTTTAACTTCTGCTAAACTGACTGACACACTCCAGAAGAGGACTTTGAAATGAGATTTGGGGGCACTCAACTCCAAGGTGATTAAGCTATTTTAGCTGTCTCTCTAACAAGACTTTGAAGTTTCTTCACTAGGGCGCCTGGGTGGTTCAGTCAGTTAGGCAGCTGACTCTGGCACAGGTCACGATCTTGCGATTCTAGAATTCAAGCCCTGCGTCAGACTGTGCTGACAGCTTAGAGCCTGGAGCCTGCTTCAGATCGTGTGTCTCCATCTTTCTGCCTGTCCCTAGCTTGCACTCTCCCTCAAAAATAAACATACATTAAAAATGTTTAAGAAAATGACATGACAGACTTTAAAAGGTACAATCAAAGGGTACCTGGGTGGCTCAGTCAGTTAAACATCTGACTCTTGATTTCGGCTCAGGTCATGATCTCAAAGGTTTGTGAGTTTGAGCCCTGCATCGGGGTCTGCACTGATGGCATGGAGCCTGCTTGGTATTCTCTCTCCCTCTCTGTGCCGCTCCCCTGCTCTTTCTGCCCCTCCCCTGCTCATGCTCACTCTCTCAAAATAAATTAACATTAAAAACAATTAAAGCTCCTTCAAGGTAGGCCTGTTTGTATCCTCAGTGTGACACACAGTAGATTCTGTATCAGTTCATTGCTGCGCTTAAGGACATCATCATCACTACCCATGAATGTTAAAAAATACTTATTTGGGCAATAAATTGCGCTGAGAGCTATCCTTGGAGATAAAAAAAAAAAAAAAAGTCCTGAGATGATGCAAAAGGAGGTATTAATGATTTCTGAAACCCTCCCCTGATCCACTGATTCTCTTCTCAACCAGAGACAGGGTACTACACAGTCAAAGGATTGAAGCAAACCGAACACCCCAAGTTCAGTCACAGTCCACGCACTACCGGTTCAGGCTTCCTGCAAAAGATCTGGCTGATGCTGGTCACCAGCATGCTGGTCCTTCAAGGTATGTTCAAAAGAGCCTTAAGCACCTGCAATGAGGGGGCTACACCTCTACCGTCTAGATTATCTTCCAGGAGGAGATGGGTGGAAAGGTAGCTCAGAGTGGGAGACTGAAATGCGGCTCAGGCCCTGGCTGTCCACGGGAAACCATCAAACCAACACGAGGGCAAAACTGGTCCAAAGGGACTCAAGATCTTATGTTAACTAGAGGGAGATGGACGAGACACATTTTCCACTGGGATGGAGGTCAGACCTGTTAGGAAAGAATGCTTCTGGCAGAGGCAAACACATAAATACAGCTGCCTCTCCCCACTGGACCAACAGAAGGCTACAAGTTAAGGTAATAGGTAACAGAGGCTGAACTCATAATGATTTGCCATTACATTTTTGCAATAATCAGCAACTGATGGAGGATTTTTCCTGTCCTTGGCATTCTTAATTGCATTTTACTTCAGCTGTCCTCTAATCAATAACTACCACAGTTCTTGTGTTACCAGAATGTCAGCGCTATAAATGCAGGGACGATGCCTCATTTACCCTAACAAAGGCAGTACCATGCACATAGTAAGCTCTTAATAAATTTGTTAAAAAAAAAAGTCTGTTAGGTTTTTGTAACTCTAACGATGGGTCAGGTTTTATATATGGGGATTCTAAACTCATCTTATTCTTCCGGGCAAACATTCCCTGATTACTAATCAAGAAACAGGCACAAATAGATTAAATGTTACTCCAGTTCACAGAAATACAGGACCTTCTCATTCTAAAACCATATGCTCTCCATAATCACCTACTATATACTAAGCACCTTCTCTCTCTCCTTTACCACCCTCCCCATTTCCGGCAAGAGGACCACCTAGAACTCCCTAGTCCAGCCCCTTCACTGCAAACTAGCAAAAGACCTTATCTGTGATCCTTGGCCAAAGCTGCCAAATGTTAAGCCTGTGACAGCTGTCGAGAGCAAACTGGTGAATATCAAGCAGCCTGACCCTTTAGACCCAATTCTTTCCCGAGTCTAAATTCTCTCAGATGGTTAGGCTACTCCGTTAGTAAAATAAATTTCTTCATAAATACTCTGAAAAGGAAATTGCAATCTAGGACCCCTTACTTACCACCTTTGACCTCCGGGTTATGTTAGAGCAAAAAAGCTCTCCGCTCGTTCCCCTTTCCAATCAGGTGCTAAGAATGAACTGGTGATAGTTGATGCCTTTTACTCTTCTTCCCCCAACTCAAGACCTAGCAGAAACACGGAAGAAGTGATGTTCAGGGGTCACCCTTTTGGACACACGTGTTCTCAGGCCCAGAGAGATCACGTAGATCAACTTATCATCTTACACATGGTCGAAAGGAGGAGAAGGGAGCTCCCTGGGTCTCTGGGCCTCCCTCCGCTCCTGAAACCACCTTCACGAGCATCCCTGTCCTGTCCTTGGGCCGGCCTGCGGTGCAACACAAGGAGAATCCACCTGCAACTTTTTGTGTGGCATCACTTCTTCTCTGATTGCCCTATTTCCTGCAAGGAGACCTCAAAGGTTGGCTTTGTCCCCAGCTTCCACCAAAACCAGCCAGATTGGCTAGAGGTCACAAATGCAATGTTAGCAATAAGATACAACTCTTACAACCTTCCTTCCTTCTTTCCTTTCTATTCCCTCCCGAGTCTCAAGGGCGCAATGGTGAATGACATCTGCTACCTAAGTTGTACGGCAGTTAACATCAACTTTCTTCTTTCTACAGCTTTGTAAGCCTGTGCCAGAAACTTAAAAAAAAAGAAAAGTTACAGCAAGATGAACCTGACACTCTGTAGCTTGCTGCCCTTCACGTTGCCACATACAGAGAAGAAAACAGCAGAGGGAAAGAGATGCTAACCATGCCAAGAATCCGGAGAACCGAAGGTGGGGCAAATGAACGCATTCCTTGACCTCCTCTTCTCACTGCCAGACCAAATCTTTCTTCCCAGCCCTGTCGCCACTTAAAAGAACAGCTGTTACAAAAGTGGCTGGTGTACAGTTCTCACTCAAACATCGGAAAAGTATATGTGGTTTTGTGCCCAAGAAAAACGTTTTCCTCCCCCTTCCTCCAACATAGTAAACACACAAACCAAACAAAATGAGAACACCAATTTTTATGGAAGAAATGTTTATTCAACACTGGAAAGAAGAGCGAAGAAACAGGCAAAGATAGGTAGGAGAAGAAAGCCAGAGCTGGTGACAGACTCGGCACGAAACTGAAGAAAGAAAGAAACCTTGGCATTGGGCAGCACCCCCACTGAGCAGCAGCCAGGAGAAGCAGCAGCTGTGTGCCAAGCCCACAGAGCACAACTGCCGGGCTTCCACCAAGTATCTGTCCGTCTTTTTGGTCACATCTCTTTTAAATAAATGCCCAAAGCAGCCTTGGCTTTTCTCAAGTCACATGTCCTCTGGTCTTTCTCTTTGGGCAGATGACCTCCTGTCCTAGCTAAGCAAGGAGTGGGGGAGGTGGCTGGGGGGACTGCAGGATATTCCTGACAGGAGGAGCTACGTGGTTAAAGGGGTAGGAATCCAGACAATTTAACTGGACCTAAATGGGAAGCCATCAAAAGGAAACAAACACCTTACCTGTGATCCTTGGCCAGGACCTGCCAAAATATGGGAGCTGAGGCTTGTGGGAAGAGGGAGGGAAAAAGCTGAAAAAGATGGGTTAGACCCTTACTAGTGATGGCCTCGACCCTCGAACTACGGATTTGGGATTTTGTACCTTAATTCAGGCTTTGCAATGTACCAGCTCTGTGTCCTTGGGCCAATGAAATTTTGAGATGCTATTTCAGTCTACTTATCTGTACATGAGATCTTGCCCACACTATCTTCTGTTCCCACAGGGCCGCTGAGGTTCAACTGAGATTCTGGATTTTAAACCATTTGAATATGGACTCCAAACTCTCCAAAGCTTTCTCCATTATATTACGTTCACTCTAATCTTTCCCTACCATTTTTATGTGTTTTTTGTGTTTCTAACTAAAGTTTAAGCTCACATGGATGACATCTTTTGCTTTTTACTCTTCAAAGAATCTTGTGAAATGTCTCAATATTATACACAATCACTGGAAGTCTCACAAAATTCTCACCCGTTGTGCTATACTCATTGAAGGCCACACACAGACATCTGCAAAAGGACACATGACCGCTGTCAAAGCTGGTCGGGACATTCAAGAACATTAGACGATTAGCTCTGACTTGAACTAAGCAGAATAAATAAAGCAACGATAAGTCAGAAGTCCCATTTCTAAGGAATTTGTTTTATTTATTCTGCTTAAGATTTGGTTATATCGGAAATGTAAAATACTTTCTATCTTGGCTTCAAAATAGTACTGATACCACCAATTTCAAATTAGCCTACAAATTTCCATGCATGAATAGATCGTTTTCTGAACACAAATCTTAACCTTAGTCTATATGAGTGATTCACAGCCCATGCATGGAACGTGAACCTCTGTGAGGCCACGGAATTATTACAAGGGATCTGCTTCAGCATTACCTTCAGTCTGAATAAATAATAGTATCTTACAAATATTTATATACTATCTTTCAACTGGATGCAGATGATGGTTGACTAATAAAGACAAACTGATTGAAAAGCATTACTGACAGGCGTCTGGCTGGCTTGGTCAGAAGAGCATATGACTCTTGATCTTGCGGCTGTGAGTTCGAGCCCCACGTGGGGTGTAGAGATTACTTAAATTTTAAAAAACTTAATAAAAAACACTAAGAAAATAAAAGCAGTACTGAAATCATAGCAGCATTTGTTATGTACTTTTTCATCAAAGAATCCTAAAAATACAACTGTCATCCTGTTATGAGGAGTCTAATAATTTTTGGACCTTAAAGTTGGTACCTTTTACTAGAAAAGGTGAAGAACCACAGGCCTACATCCCGTGAGTCATAAATATGCAGCTGAAAGAGGAAAGGGCAACAAACATACAGACTCTACTTCTGTGGATACCAACAAGCGCAATTTGGCCAAACTTTATAAAGTGTGTATGTCTCCGGTCTTGGAGTTGAATGCCCAGAATTCCACTCATCTGGCAGGTACGAGAGATCAAAACCTCCTAATGTCCTTTGGATAAGATAAGGGCCCTAAGTGGACCCTAGGAAATAACCTCCAGCACGTTGTACTCTAGACATTCTACTTTGAACCCGGGGAGTGGCCCGGTGGTTCCCAGGCTGAGTGATGAGACACTGACATCACTGTAAGCCCACATGATGACTACTTGTGATATGTTCCCTCAAGGTCCTGCCTTAGAACTTATGGGAGGATCATTCTGGAGAGTACGCTTCTTGGGGCTCCTGCATAGCTCTGTTGGTTGAGCATCTGAGTGTTGATTCTGGCTCAGGTCATGATCCCAGGGCCACGGGATTGAGCCCTGCTTCGGGCTCCGCACTGAATGTGGAGCCTCCTCGGGATTCTGCTCTCTCTCTCTCAATTTCTCTGCCCCTCTCCCCCACTCGTACTCTATGAAAATTAAAAACAAGAAAAACAACAACAAAAAAACAAGTGGAGAATTATTTTAAAAAATTTAAATGTTTTATTTCTGAGAGAGAGAGAGCGAGAGAGAGACAGCGTGAGCAGGGGAGGGTCAGAGAGAGAGGGAGACACAGACTCCGAAGCAGGCTCGAGGCTCTGAGCTAGCTGTCAGTACAGAGCCCGATGCAGGGCTCGAACCCACAAACCGTGAGATCATGACCTGAGCCAAAGCCGGACGCTTAACCGACTAAGCCACCCAGGCGCCCCAACAAGTGGAGAATTATTAAAAAAAAAAAAAAAAAAAAAATGCTCTCCCGTTAGTCCCCAACTCCCAAATCCCTATCGGTTTATTCTGGTGAAAAGCACTCATCTTCCCACCTCCCTACTTCAGAAGCCAAAGAGGGCTTTCCCTCTCATCCAATTCAGCCCTGCTCCTCCGTCTCCTAAAAATCTATCTTCCTTCACAGATGTCAGTTCCTGTCTAGATCAGCTCTAAAAACTACCTCTGAAGAGCCCCTCCTTTCCAAAAGCCCCACAGGCTGTTCTGTTGTTGTTGTTTAAAACAGACACTAGTTTCTGTTAAGACGGATAGACGGGTACATTTATACTTTGTATTCCTCGAGTAAAAGAGCATGTGGACAGACACCAAAGAGAAAGAAACTGAGGCATGCAGAAAGTCAAGAGAAGTCAATTTTGTATCAATAATTTATCCAACAAAATAAAAATAAAAAGCAATAGGAAACTGTATTTGTGTTCAACTAATTATACTACAGAAGCCAGGGGTGATCTATTTCCTCAAAGCTGTTTTTTCCCTCCACACTTAAGTGACTGGGCTTTTACCTCCCGGGAATCCCTTAGCCACACACCATACAGTAGGATGTCTGCCCAAGGCAAACAGCGCCCCCTAGCAGAGAACTGAGGAAATAGAAGGGCCTGAGGGTACAGTGAGAACTGGAGTGCGAGGCCCAGGCCTCTGCTGTACGTGCTAACTTTACCTCAATGGCCACCACAGCCCTTTGTTCCTCTGGTGTGAAATGTGCATATATATGTGTGTGTCTATGAACACACACACACACAAATGTGGAATTTGTTTTTCCTATTAGCTACTTAAAGTAAGAGTGGTTGGGAAAAAGAAACAAATTCTTCCCCAAAAAATGTCCTTCGAACTTGAGAACTAAGTATTGGACCAGAGAGAGTACTGCCCAAAGAAAACATCTAACAAGAACTTAACTGTTACGCAGCAATTGCTGACAACTAAAATTTATCAGCTAAGGAAGCTATTTCATTTATAGGCATCTCCATATCCCCCACCCAGAGTAATTCTTTTTTCTTACAAATTAGAACATGGAAAGGAAAGACTCCGGCAGCTATAGCAACAGGGGCAAAATGCCATTCTGGAATCTCCATGTTTCCCAACTCTTCAGAGCACTGGCAGTAGGAACTTGGAGGGAAAATGACATGTTTAAGGCCAGGCTTATTCCCTCTCCCTGTTCCCAATTCATTAGCTGAGAAACTTTAAAGACCTTGGAGATCTCAGCTAAAAATGTTCACCACTCTGCCCTTCCCACTCAACTTCCTGGTTCTGTCCAGCCAGGACTAACCCACAGGAACGAGAGTTAGACTCACCCCTCCGGTAAACTACTCGGTAAACTACCCGAGAAGCAATCATCACTTGGAGGCCAGTAAGGAGCTGTCCTATATTACTTCCCAACTTCTAAATTTATCACGCTCTAGGCGGTCTCTCCTGATTATGTGCTAATAAAATACTTTTCTTCCCTCTAATCTCAAATGACAGTGGACAAAGTAGAGATAAAGAAGAAAAGACATTTATGAATAAGACAACAATCTGTTTAGCTCTGCATGGGAACCCACAGGCCATTTGGTCTGAATGTAAAGGCCTCAAGCATAAGGACTCAAGATCTGAAATTGCAGGAGTTTCCTCTTCTTAACAACCAAGGAGGGCTAAATCTCTCTCCTTGGCGATGAAACCCCCAGATTCCTGAGTCTGTAAAGCCTTCCTACTGGAAAAGAACACTTGAAAAGTCCAGGTTATGCAGCCGTCTGCCTCGGGCACTCTCTCTAAACTGTTTGAAACGATTAAGAGCAAGGCATTCCTCAAAATAAACTCTTAGCACTGGCCGTGTTCTGGTGTTAGACCAATGAATCTACAATGCTTCTTCCTAGAATGGGAGGCGTCTCAGATTTCTTCCAGGTTAATTCAGGTGAAAGAACAAGGGATGTGTGTGGCACACAGCAAACTGGCTTTCATCCTATTTACATTTCTTTTACTTTTTAACCCTGGAACTGAAGCCTCTAAGCAAAGTAGACATTTCCGATACAGATACACGACTGACCTGGGGACATTTAAGTGGGGTGAGTACCACTCTGCTGCATGCATCGTTTCTATTTTTCCTACTGTGACTATTAATTTTATGCGTCAACCTGGCTGGGCCAAGGGGTACCCTCAGTATTTGGTCAAACATTATTCTGAGTATGTCCCTGAGGGTTAGTTTTGGTCGATTAACATCTGAATAGGTAGACTAATTAGAGCTGATTGCTCTCAGAAGGTCAATGTCAGCGGGCCCCATCCAAACAGCTGAAGGCTCAACTAGAACAAAATGGCTGACACTCCCACTCGCATGGGGGAGTGCCTCTTGTCTGACTGAGTCAGGACATTGGTCTTTTCCTGCCTTTGGACTCAAACTAAAAAGGCTTTTCTTGGTCTTCTGCATTGGAATTTATACCACTGCTCTCCTAGTACTCAAGCCTCTGGAGATCAGACTAGAAGTACACCATAAGCTGGCTGGCTGCCTGCCTGAAGGTCTTGAAAACTTCTTAGCCTCCATAATCACACAAGCTAATTCCTTATAATAAATCTCTATGTGCACGTGTGCATGCATACACACACACACCCCCCATACTGCCCTACTGATGTTGTTTCTCTGGAGAACCCTACCCTAGTACACGCTTTAACCTAAATTAACCAGGAATTCCAAGATACCTCCTAGAAAGAAACACAAAGATTCATTAAGTGGGAGGGGTACAGGAAATAGGAAAAAATTTTTAAAAAAGCCTCCTCCCCTCTATCAGAGCAAAAAAAGTGGAGAAAATCTCAGCTGAGACTGACACTATTTGCTATTCTGTGTGTGAAAATGGTAATTCTGTATGTAGCACTCTGTTTCCGACCCTCTGTGAAATGACCCAGATGTGGTCTGGTTCCCCAGTTTTTCAGCTGTAGTAAAAATACAACTGCCTGTCCCGGACTCTCCGGCCTCTTAACAGGGAGACAAGATCGTAATTTTTCTGACACAGCAAATGCTGTTCTACTTGAAAACTACAATGTGCCCCAATGTCAGCATGGCCCTTCTCCATCTAGGTAGTGCTATTAAATGTTCAGAATACACCTCACACCCGCCCCTCGCCCCGTTCTTGACCCTGTCCCCCATTCAAAAGTGATGTGTAGTTTGAGGCCACCCATCAATATGCACAGTAAGGAGCTCACAATCTCCAAAGAAGCCATCCCTGCAGAGGTAGGTTATGAGAGGCACTGGAGGAAACATCTTTTATTCCCTCTGGGCCCAACCTAAATCATACCCTGCAGTCACAATTGTAGGGGGAGGCTGCTAATCCGGCATGCCATTGTCCGTCTTTCTCTCCCCTACACATTCAACCTCCACCAAAGATTCCTCCAAGGCCCCTTCCCGCACCCCCAAAACCAGTGTATGATGGCCAACAAAAACTGAGGAAAGAGTCCTGGCCAAGGAAGAGACTCATCCAAGAGTGGCCTTCTGGTTCTGATCATTTCAGATTGCGAAAGGCCGATGTGACCAGACAAGCAGGGGCCACTGTGACACGCGCGCACAGTGGTTACATGTCCCCATCATGTCTTTTTGAGACTCTGAAGTTTCAACAACATTCTTCATCTTCTTCATTTATTCAACTTTAAACACTTAAATGCTTCGAAGAGCATGTGCAATGAGACAGTGTCAGGCTGAAAACCTACAGCCCACCTCTCCAAGGCCAAGTTGTTTCGGGCATGATCACAATAATCAATCTAATTCCAAGTACAGCCAGAACTAAGCAGAAGAGAAAGATTTCAGGGATTATAAAAGGGCTTAAAAAATTAAAACGAGACAAGGTGAACTCTCAATTGCTGAAGACCAATGAATTACTAAAAACAGTGCAATGAAGTAATTTCACTTCTGAGGGAAACTGTTATAAGGTTCCCATGACAAAAGGCAGTAAACAAGGAGTTGGGGGTCATTTAAAATAGCCCCAGAATCAAAGATTTCAAATATCTGTCCTCCTGTGCCTGTGTGCTACCCAACTCATTTGCAAAAAGGAACCAGGATCAGATTCCCACCAACTTAAGATTCCTAAGGTGTGTCACACAGGCTTCTGCAGGAACTGCACCTCATGAAGTAGTCTTTGAAAATAAAATGAGAAAACCAGAGTGCAACAATAAGCCACTTTCTCCTCCCCACTGTAATTTTTCTTTGATTTTCTGAGGATTCAAAACAAAAAAGAATCGTTAGTCTCAGATTCCTGAATTAATCTGACCTCGCTTTGTGGCTAATGTGGCCAAGAGGAGATGTTTTTGTACAATTAAAACAGGAAGACCTTAAATCAGCAGGACTTCAGGGCTGTGGTTCCACTGCATCTACTATAAAATATACTAGTGGCAGGGTGGAGGCTAGAGCGGGAAGTGGAAACGTCCACGACCAGGTGACATGACAGATGGTGGGGCCCTGGCCAGATTTTAAGGTAAAGTGATTCTACTCTGTCTGGCAGGGACCCCACAGCATCAAGTTTCACACTTATAAAAGTATCACTCTGAATTCAGGAATGAGAGGCATTTGGTTGTAGATACAATTCCATCTGCAGATACTAACTTTAAGTTGAGAGAAGAAAAACACTCACTGCATTAATATTATGGGTTGGGGTTTCTTATGCGATTCCTACATCCACCTACTATTTTTTTTGTTTCGATACAACTGACAGCTGTGATAAGACTACCACAGCCGTGGCTCAGATGCGGGCTTTTCAGCTTCAGAAAGTCCATCGGTCATGTAGCTGGCTGTCACTGCTATATCTGTTGCTTGCAGAGGCCTCAGAGTTCTGAGTTTGCCGAGTAGAGTCCTCGCCATTTAAGCTCTTCCTACACACAGGACATGTGTCGTGCTGAAACAGAAAGAGATCGGTGCATGTCAACAGCCTCACCTGAGAAGCTGGAGGTGCCAGACCCTGAAGGAACCCTGAGCGCCGGCGGGCAGAAAAGACAAGAAGGGCATGCACTCTCACAGTGCACACTGGGCTCAAAGCTCTGACACCGGGTCATACTCCAAACAGAACTTTAAACAGAAATGACAGCGAGAATTCCAGGCTGGGATCTTAACCACAGCTACCACTCATCACCAGTCAGAACCTACCAGATACAGGGACCTGAGATGGTCTAGAGTGAGGGTCAGCAGACTTGTGGTGAAGTAAACATCTTAGACTTGGCAGGCCATGCTGCCTCTGTCACAACCACCCAACTCTGCTGAAGCAGCACAGAAGTGGCTGTAGACAACTGGTAAACAAATGCATGTAGCTGTGCTCCAATATAATTCATTTACAAAAACAGGTGGCAGGCTCATGGCTGTAGGCTGTGGTTTGGTAACCTCTGGTCAGAGAAGTTTCCAAACACAGTGATCTAAAAAACAGCCATGGCACCAGCAGGAGTTAGACAGGGAATAAAATCTGCTCTGCCTGGCTCTCCACTGACCCGGAGCCACCCCCCACCCTGATGTGGCCAGCAGGGGCAGCGCATCAAACGTGAGAGCCAGCCGTACTCACCAGCTCTAACCATGGTACGATACAGCTGCTGTGGAAAAAGTGGTTGCAGGGTAACTGCCGGACTTCCTCTTCAACTGCGTAATCTTCTTTGCACACTGGACACTCTAAACCCGTATCTGTTGGAGGAGGAAATGCCTTCAAAAGGAAGCAAGCGACAAGAAGGAAGGAAAAAACAGCCCAAAGGAAGTGTAAGAAACGATACAAAGTGTGCCCTGGGCGGAGGAGGCGGGAAGCACGAACTTTACTTCAAAGCGGGCTGGCAGGAGACAGGGGCTTTGTGAAAAGGAGGATCAGAACGGAATAGTCCAGGAAGGCCTACTTTTCAACATCAAGGCTTATAAAAAATAAACCGGGGCTTGGATGATCGGTTAAGTAAAACAGGGAAAACACCTTCCCAGACATGTGATATCCTTCTGGCAGTTTCTACTTAGGAGACACAGGCAATCTGTCGGCCACGACCAAGGGATGCATCTGAGGGACCTCAGCAACTGCCAGCCAGCGTCTCAAGCCACTTCCATCTCAAGCCACTTCCAGCCTGCTCTTCTCCCCGCTCTGCGTCCTCGCTCCGCGTCCTCACAGCGGGCTGTCCTAAAGCCCTCGGCACACGGTGCTGTGTGCCAGGAGACGGTAGCAGTGCCAGGAGGCAGCGCTGCAGACCTGTGGGGGCCCCAGGGCAGCTCTGCTCTAGAAGCCGGCTCCATGGGGGAAGGGCTGCAAACTGGAGTCTCCTGAGTCTCCCAAGTCTAGCGGCACTTCAGGGGCTGCATGCCCCGGGGCACTCGAGGACTCAGAACAGTAAGACTCCCAACAGTCACCCCTGCCTCTCCGCTCCTAGCTCACACCTCTACCTCAATTCTACCCTTTATTCCTTATGCCTGGTCTAGCGGAACAGCCTCCCAGGAAGTCTAGAGGAACAGCCTCCCAGGAAGTAGTATCCTTGACCCCAGGCTTCAACCTCCGAATGTATCCTATACTTTGCAAGCCGATAATTTCCCCTAATACTGGCTTCCCCAGGGGGCACCTCAAACTCCCCAAATTCAAAATGAAAAACATCACATCACTGTCATGCCCAAACCCCGCCAGACAGGAGGGGGGAAGGGAGGGTCACAACCCCCACCCCATAGACGGCAGCACCACCTCTGCAGTTCCTGAGCTACAAACTCTCACAGTCACCCTTGACCCTTTCCCCTCTTTGATCCCACAAGGCAATCAGTGACGTGACGAAAGTCCATCTTCCAAGTGATACTGGGCCTACCAAGCCCTGTCGGCGGCACGGCGGCCGTCACCTGCACCCACCTGGATGCAGCAGCAGCCCCCCCCCCCCCCCCCCCCCCCCCCCCGAGCCCCTGCTTCTGCTTTCTGCACCTTCCAATCTATTTGAGACACTACCTCCCAGCTAATCTTCCCTGAAGAGGACCTGAAGTCCCCCGGTCCTCCATCCAGGGACCTATGAACCTTGCCGGCTGCCTGAAACATCCAGTAGGAACTGCTCTGCCAGTTCCGACGTCAGCTCCAACCAGGCCTTCTGCCCGGTCACCCCTCCCCCTGGCTCCTAAACTAGACTGCACTTCGGGGCCAACAGGGCCACTCTCCTTTTACCTGATTCAGACACTGTGTCCATGCTGAAATTCTCACACCGGTTCAGACTCTTCCTTGAACAGAACAACCTCTCGAAGATGGCCTATCCTGTCTTTAAAATCTTCTCTGACTCTAAATTGGAATTTGTGGTGCAAGAAACTCCCAGTTCAAAACAATGTCCCTTGTCACTAAATTCCTTCAGTGCTTAAAAGTAAAATAATATCTGTCTAATGTACCTGTGACAGAATAAATGTGAAACAAATTCCCAGCTACCCATTTTTTCTCTTCCTCTGTATCATCTGCTCAATACTATGTTTTATACTGCTTTTTTAAAAAAAATGTTTATTAATTTAGTTAGAGAGTGAGAGTGAGAGAGAGAATCCCAAGCAGACTCCAGCTGTCAGCCCAGAGCCCAATGCAGGGCCTGATCTCACAACAGTGAGATCATGACCTGAGCTGAAATCAAGAGTCAGATGTTTAACTGACTGAGCCACCCAGGTGCCCCTATACGGTTTTCTAATCACTGAGTTGAGTTTTGCTTCCCCTAGTAAGCTCTTCAAGAAATCAAGTCTTGGGTTGCCTGGGTGGCTCAGTCAGGCAAGCATCCAACTTTGGCTCAGGTCATGATCTCACAACTCGTGAGTTCAAGCCCTGCATTGCTCACTTGCTCTCTTGCTCTCTCTCTCAAAAATGAATATTAAAGAAAACTAAAACAAAAATCTCTTGGTTCCCACAAGATTAAAGCCATAAAGTCACAAAGTCTTATATAAACTAAAAATATAAGATAAAATCTCTAATTTTCTGGAATGTCCTTTGTCATAATGATTTGTAACTATATAAAAAACAGCATCTGGCTGGCTCCGTCAGTACAGCACGCAACCCTTATCAGGGACATGAGTTCAAGCCCCGCACTGGGTATGGAGCCTACTTAAACAAACAAACAAAACCCTTCACCAAATGGCCTTTCCCCAGAGGGCCCTCTTCTTTATGAGGACTGCATCCTGGGCAATTATCCTAACTTGAGCTCAAATAAAATTCTTTTCCTTTCTCTTTAAAATTTTTAAAAAGTTCTGTCTACTTTGCATCAATGTAACTAACTTTTGGAGCGCTTGGGTCTAGGTCGGAGTGCTACAGCCTCACCTGCAGGTCCCCAGTACAAGAAGGTGCTGCGGCTCTGAACACAGGTCAGGTTTGACAGAAGAAGTAAGGAAATGAACCTACCAACTTGTTCCTGAGTTACTGTCACTGTTGGAAGAGATGTGATCTTTTCTTTGTCAGCTGGGGGAGGCCCTGTGTTTTCCAGTTGTCCTAAAAGCTACAAAAAAGGAAAAAGAAAAAGACAACGAGGTGGCAGACGGCCTGCCATCCCTGGGGGGGGGGGGGGGGGGGGGGGGAGGGGAGTGGTGCCGGCTGAGAACACACAGTGCAAACGTCAGAAATGTTAGCTGCTCTCACTCCTGCAAGGCTCCGCTGCTGCCAGAACATTCATGACTACTTTACAATCTCAGAGTGACCTCAGTGTAAGCCTATACACAAGCCCATCACTGCAAGGCCCACCTGTAGCCATAAAGCAATCTCAGAGGCAGCATAAGGGTTGTGATGTCAGGAATAAAAGTAAAACTGAATGAAAGGTAATACTCGACTGGTCTAAAAACTTCATTCTGCTGGAAGAAATAAAAGGGTGGGAGTATGGAAAGTACCATAAAGTAAGCCAAGAAATAGGTAAATTACTGCCTACGAGAAGATTTGGATATAAATGACATGCTTTCTATTCTCAGCAATCCACAAGGAAAATGAAAACCATCTGAACTAAAATAAACATAAATAAGTGGAAGCAATTATATGTCATGGGAAAACCTTTTTCTCTGCTTCCTTCCCCTACTTGGCTCCATCTAGCAGAAATCCCTGCTTCAAACATGTGAGGAGACCCTCCCTCCTTTTCTGTGAAGTGTTTGTTAACAGGATCCTCACAGGACTGAACAAGAGGCCAAAACTAACAAATAATGTTTGTTACAGGAGAAATCTTTTCTTCCTATGGAGGTGAAACCATCTTCTGGAAAGTCCCTAGGACCTCAAAGGTACATGGATGCTAAACTAAACCCATAACCATTCATCCTTTCAGTAAAATGGAAACCCACAAGCTCACAATATTAGGGAAAGCAGAGTGACTGCCATTCAGGAAGTAGCAGAAGGAAAGCAGGAAGCCTGTGGAACCGTGAGACACACTGAACAGACAGCCTCAAAAGACAGCTCCTCACCTGGGTTACAATGGCATCAAGCCCTGTCTGACCCCAGGCATAGTCCCCGGGGTTGGAGTGCAGCATCCCGCTCCTATACGTGAGATGAGACAGACAGCATTAGATGGAGGGCCCAGGCTCCGCCTCACACCACAGGGAAACTGGCAGGTCCTGCTCTCTCTCAGAGCTGGAAAGTCACTAGTTCTCTAAAACCAGGTGGCAAGGAATTTCTCAGTATTTTTAAGGTCAAACAGATTCTCCGGAAGCAGTCTCTTACTCTCTTTAAGTAAGGCATTTTTACTTATTCGAATAGAACATAAAATGTGAAGCTACCTAAAATATCACATGACACACCAGAGCAAAAACAGTGACTCAGTGCCTACTGGCTAAGAAGTGTTTGTCTTCTCTACACCCACTTCGAGTAAATATAGATGGAGCTGCTTTTTAAGGAGAGTTTTCCCTTTGTGACTGGCGAAAATCTATAGCAGACCTCCCTCGTTCTAAGAGGCTGCCCACCGCCCCAAACAATGAGGAGCTTTCAGTGGAGACGCCGCCACAGCGGTCTCTTTAATCACAACTCAGAGCAATTACAAAAGGGACCTGGCAGCACCTGTGTTTGGAGCTGCTGGTGCACTACCCTGGATGACAGTCGTCCAGACTCTTTGGTTGGAACGTGTTAAAAGAAACTAGAGGCTGGAACACAGGGTAACTGAGTGGAAGGACCGAGGACCCTGAGCAAAGGAGCCTTCCAGGGCAGAGTCAGAAGTGATATGTGATGGTCTAGACAAGAAGAAATTCCATCTTAACCCCTATCGTACTTCAGTGACAGCCTGATAGTGAAATACAGTCTTTTCTTTCTCCTGACATACCTTCTTACTTTAAGAATTCAGAAATTCTTAAGGATAAAATCTTCCCGTACAATCTAGAGAAGAAACCTGCCAGTCAGATTCCAGCCTGGCAGGGACCATCTCATCCCCCTCTCACACAACTGTCGAACCAGAATGTGACTCAAGCCTCACACAGCCAGTGCTCACACATCCTGGGGGACCATACAAAATAAGTTCTGATTAAGTTTGGGCTCAGCAACTACAGGCAGTCTAACAGTCTGCCAATCAAATTTATATACTCACCTATTCAGCTCTTTCTCTTTCTCACAATGGTTCGTACATACACCTAAAGTGCTGCTACTCCAGCAAAGACAGACAGAAGACAATTTGTTACTTACCAGGAAAAAGGATGTGAGGATCCAGGAACTGCAGAATTTGCGAAGAATCCTGCAAAGATCTGTTGTATTATTCTGTTGGAGGGGGAAAAAAAATTAGGTAAGAGGACAAATTCATGAAAGTACTTCACAGATATCTATAGCTGACAATCAGCAACTCCTCCAAACTACCATGAGTTTTCACTGACCACTCTATAACAGATTGCCATCTGGTAAAGTGCCATTCTGCTATTATGGCTATCTTCCTGAGCTCCGCAATCTTACGTATTAACAGATATTTGTGAACTAGGCTTGAAATGAATTTGATTACATGGTATAGTTTCCCAACTATGTTCCTTGGATCTCTGGCAGCAGAATCAGGCTGAAAAGGATACTAAGCCAGTGGGATTTAGGCTCAGCCTGTAAACAGCAGTTCCATTTTTATGTGTTTCACTCATTGGGTTTCTGCATAAGATATTATTCAAAGAGCCCTATACAAATTTTTTTGAGAATAATTCCATCTTACAAACATTTAGCAACATAACTATATTAGCCCTCAAAAAGTGTTTCAATTGCTTCTAACACAAACACATTCAAATACACACACACCTGACATCTGTCATTCTCGGCACATAAGCTAGCACATCTACCCAGTTCTTTATATTGGTGAACTGATCTTTGTTACCCAAAGAGATAACGGGCAAAAGAAAAAGACTGAAGAAAATGTTCTCCTAGCTCTCTTCTTTGGTGAATGATATGCACAAAGCTTTACAGAGATATAACTGATATGATACTTTTAACCCCTTGATTCCCACCTTATTAGGCCAATCAGTATAACAATGGCAGTAGCCAATATCAGACCATCCCTATTCTTAAAGTTCAACAGTAGATAACTAGACTATGTGTATGTTTTAAAATAATTGTCCGGGAAGGGAGGCAAACCATGAGAGACTTTTGACTGCTGAGAAAAAACTGAGGGCTGATGGGGGTGGGGAAGAGGGGAAGAGGGTTGATGGGCATGGGGGAGGGCACTTGTTGGGATGAGCACTGGATGTTATATGGAAACAAACTTGACAATAAAGTATTTAAGGAAAAAATAAATAAATAAATAAATAATAAAATAAAATAATTGTCCACAAATTATTTTATGCTCCTCCTTTGAGTATAGGCTAGACTTAGTGATTTAATTCTTTTTTTATTGAAGTATAATTCACATGAACATTCTATTAAGTTTCAGGTGTACAACATGATTCAATGTCTGTATGTACTGTAAATGATCACCACAAAATGGCTAGTTAACATTTATCACCACAGTTACAACATTTTTTGTGTGATTATAAATTATAAGATATACTCTCTTAACCTGCAAATATATAATAATTATTAACTATAATACTGTAATTACCTATAATTAGTATAAGGATCTATAATCTCTTTGCAGTTTTGATTTGCACTTCCCTGATGATGTAGTCACCATGTTGTACATTACATCCCCGTTATTTATTTTATAACTAGAAGTCTGTACCTTTGGACCTCCTTCACCTATTTCACCCATACCCTACCCCCTACCTCTGGAAACCACCTATCTATTCTCTTTATCAATGAATGAGCTTCCCCTCCCGCCCCACAATTCCACATATAAGTGAGATCATATGGTATTTGTCTTTCTTCATCTAACTTATTTCGCTTATCACAATATCTTCAAGGTCTACCCATGTTGTTGAAAATGACAAGATTTCATTTTTTATGGCCAAATAATATTCCAGGGTGTGGTGTATATTTATACAAACCACATTTTCTTTAACTATATCCATCAGTGGACATAGGTTGTTTTCATGTCTTGGCTATTATAAATAACATTGCAATGAACATAGAGTATATACATCTTTTTGAATTAAGGTTTTCATTTTCTTTAGATAAATATCCTGAAGCGAAATTGCTGGATCATATGGTAGTTCTATTTTTAATTTTTTGAGGAACCTCCATACTGTTTTCCACACCGGCTGCACTGATTTACATTCCCACCAACAGTGCACAAGGGTTTCCTTTTCTCTACATCCTTGGCAAAACTTGTGATTTCTTGTCTTTTTGATAGCAGCCATTCTAACAGGTGTGTGGTGACACTTCACTGTGGTTTTGATTTGCATTCCCTGCTTAGTGATGTTGACACATTTTCATGTACGTGTTGGCCATCTGTATGTCTTCTTCAGAAAGACAATTATTCAGATCTTCCGATCCATTTTTTAATCAGATTGGGGTTTTTTTCTTTTCTCTTTTTTTTGTATTGCATTATATGAGTTCTTTCTATATTTTGGCTATTAACCCCTTATCCGATTTGCAAACACGGTCTCCCATTCAGTAGTTTGCCTTTTCATTCTGGTGATGGTTTCCTTTGCTATGCAGAAGCTTTTTAGTTAGCTATTTTTGGTTTTGTTGCCTTTGCTTTTGAAGTCAGATCCAAAAAAATCATTGCCAGACCAATGTCAAGGAGCTTACTGCTTATGTTTTCTTCTAAAAGGTTTATGGTTTCAGGTCTGACATTCAATCCATTTTGAGTTAATTTTTATGTATGGTGTAAGATAGTGGTCCAGTTTCATTCTTTTGCCTGTGGCTGTCCAGTTTTCCCAATGTCATTTGTTGAAGAGACTGCCCTTTCCCCACTGTATATTCTTGGCCCCTTTGAGTTTACTTCCATTCCACTGACTTAGGGTGTCTGTTTTTACACCAATACCATTCTGTGACTTACTTCTTGACAATGGAATATGACAGGATAATCTATGACTTCCAAGATCAGTCATAAATTGTACTGTGGCTTCCTCCTTGCACTCTCTCTTAAATCACTTTCTTGGAAAAGTGCCACGTAGAGCAGTCCTGTGAAGACCCACATCATAAGGAACTAAAGCCTCCTACCTACAGCCAGAACTCACTCACCACAATATGAGTAATTCTCAGTTGGCCCTTCAGATGACTGCAGTAATCGCCAGCATCCTGACAGTAAGCTCACAAGACACTGGGCCAGAACCACCCAGCTACTAAGCTGCCCCAAATTCCTGACCCAATGAACTTGTAAGATGACTAATGTTTGTTATTTTCAGTCACTAAGTTCTAGTGTAATCTATTATAGAGCAATAGATAACTAATCTAGATTTTGATACCTAGAAGTATGTTCTAACAAAAACCTAAAATGTGGGAGTAGATTTAGAACCCAACAGAGGGTAAAAGTTAGGATGACTGAGGAGATTATCAGTGAAAGTCTGAAGAGCCTTGAAGAAACAGTAGAAGCATGATGGCCTTTGAAGGAGTTATGGGTGAGAACTTAAGTGAGAAAGATCTTCTTGGAAACTGAAGGGAAAGGGATCCTTGTTATGTAGTAGTAATAACATGCAAAGTAGAAACTGTGGCTCACAAACGGGGTGACAGTCTAGCCAGTGAGATGTCCAGACAAGGATGCTGAAGGTACTTCTTGGCTTCTTCTTGCTGCTTGCATTAAAATGCAAGAAGAGAGGGATAAATTAAAGGGAAAGATGATTAAAGTTTTATTTACTTATTTATTTTTTTAGTAATCTCTACACCCAATCCCTCACAACCCCAAGATCAAGAGTTGCAGGTTCTTGGGGTGCCTGGGTGGCTTAGTCGGTTAAGCGTCCGACTTTCGCTTAGGTCATGATCTCGCGGTTCGTGGGTTCAAGCCCCGCGTCGGGCTCTGTGCTGACTGCCAGCTCAGAGCCTGGAGCCTGTTTCAGTCTGTGACTCCCTCTCTCTGACCCTCCCCTGCTCACGCTGTCTCTCTCTCTCTCTCTCTCCTAGAAATAAATAAAACATTAAAAAAAAAAAAAAAAAAAAAAAAGAGTTGCAGGTTCTTCCAACTGAGCCAGCCAGGTGCCCCTAAAGAGGACAGTTAAACGAAAAAGAGTTAAGAAAATTCCTACCCTCTCCAGATGTTTAATGATACTAAAATTAAGAAATGACTTCCAAGCAAAGATCAAATCCAGAGCACTGCCAGAAGAAAATGGTTAACAAGGAAGTCTAGCATGTGGCTATCAAAATTCTTCATTAAGGCCTTAGAAAGATCTACATAGCCTAAAGAACTATTCAACTAAATAACTGGGCTTCCAGGAAGCTTAAGGGTGTGTAGTTCACAAGGGCTGCCATAACAAATTCCCACCAATATACAGCTTAAAAGGAAAGGAATTTATTCTCTCATAGTTTTGGAAGCCAGAGTTTGCAATCAAAATGTTGTTAGGGTTAGTTCCTTCTGGAGGCTCTCAAGGAAAACCTGTTCCAGGCCTCTCTCCCCGGGCTTGTGGTGGTTCCTACCAATCCTTTCTATTTCTTGGCTTTTAGACACCTTACTCTCATCTCTGCCTTGGTATTCCTGTGCCTTCTGTATCCAAATTTCTCTAAGAATACCAGCCACTGGATCTGGGCCCACTCTAACCCATTGTGATCTCACTTTAACTTGATTACATCTGTAAAGACCCTATGCCAAATAAGGTCACATTCACAAGTAGTGGGGTTCAGGATGTAAACATACCTTTTTTAAAAAAATTATTTTATTTTATTTATTTATTTTAAATTTATTTATTTTTGAGAGAGACAGAGTATGAACAGGGGAGAAACAGAGAGAGAGGGAGACACAAAATCTGAAGCAGGCTCCAGGCTCTGTCAGCACAGAGCCTGAAACAGGGCTTGAACTCTTGAACCGTGAGATTATGACCGGAGACGAAGTAGGAAGCTTAACTGACTGAGCCACCCAAGTGCCCCTGGACCTAAACATATCTTTATGTAGGATACAACTCTACCCACTCCAAGTACTGTCCCTCAGCAATACCAGCAGAAGCCCAAAGTAGAAAGAAGATTATCTGGAAAAGATATGTGGGTGTGGCCTTTCCTATTGGCATGAATCTCAGTAACATTTACAAGAGACTCTTAAGTTTTAAAAAGAAACACTGCCAGGTTAAACTAAAAGGTACAGAGCCAAAACAAAATGAAGAGAAGCCTCTTGGGCCCTTAAAATTCTACTGGCAAGAAGCAGACTAAGAAAACTATGCAGCTGCAAATCTGGACTACTTTTCATGGAAAAGAAAAGATAACTC